CTAATGAGCTTCAAACCTTCACAGCTGACAAGGAGAAACAGGGCAGAGCTATTTGCACTTCTGTTTATGTGAATGCTAGTACTTCACAATGTTGGTGTATTACAAATTGTACCTCCACAATTTGTTCCTGGTCTAGACTGGATGACAGCTCTTAGAGCTACCTCCTTGTTTCTCTTGACTGGAATTCTCAAGAAAGCCATTCCAACAACTTACTTTCTAACAAAGTGGAAGAAAGTTCCTTCACTGCTTCTCTTCCCCTCATTCCCTGCAACAGGGTACTTGAATATCACAGATCAGGTGATATTAAACTTGGTAATTTTCACCTTTTCTCCCTCAGGTTGCTTAATTAACACTTGTATTGTGCCTCTTACTTTGCATATGGGTCTTGCTAGAATCATAACCCTCTTACAGCCTCGAATACATGAATATGAGATTTAGGAATATTATTCTCCTTGTCATTTATCCTCAGAAATAAGTGCCCAGAAACTTGAAAAAACACACAGTAAGACAAAGAAGAAAAAAAAAAAACACACAGCTAAAAAGCTATGATTATGATAATTAAAAAGTCTATATATTTTGCATTCTAATAAAAATATAAATAAACAAAAGATAAATAAATTAAAAATCTGTCAGAAAGCTAGTGTATTTTGGGACAGAAATCTTCCCTGAGAGGTGGCTGAAGCTTGCTTCTTTTCATTTTTTTCAGAACAAGCTGAAAAAACTCTGAGAACGTTCTGCAAGGATGATTAGTGAGAAATAGCTCTTCAAGATGTACGAAGTTTCATACTTCTCCCACAGTTTTGCATTTAAAAAAAAAAAAAGTCATACAAGAAAATTTTCACAATCAATGTAAAAACCAAAGGAGAAAGTTGTGTGATCAAATTACAAAGACAAAATCCAAGCATAAGAAATACCCTGAAAGTTATCACGCCTATCACTAAACTACTCAAAATGTAGCTCACATACTTTCATTCTCTTACCTGAAGAATGACTAATACTACATCATGCCATATAAATACTAGGCAGTATTTAAATATGTCCAATTCAAACATCTCTTGAAAATCTAGATAACTCTTTGAGAAATTACACCTAAGTATACCTAAAACACAAAGGATGCAATTTGAGCCTTTATGGTTTGTCTGGTCACTTGGACATTGTGGGATAGAATAGAGGAGGAACACAGCAAATACCACCTAAGCTTCCATTCAAAGCTTCATAGGAGACAGAGTAAAACTTATTACAGAAAGTAATGGGATTTTTATGGCTGCTGCACACATAAATGGGAAGGCAGCAATAAACTTACCACACTCCTGGAGTGCAGCACATATTAAATTAATTTGAACTAACTCAGTCTGCAATATTAGCTGATTTTTTTATTTGGAAGGCAATTATGGAATTCAGGAAAATAAATAAATAAAAAACCCCAAACCATTCCACCATTTTATTTTTCTTCTCATTCTTCCATTTCACTTAACACCCCCCTCTTCCTCCAGCTTTAGATGTAGAATAAATTTGGTTAGAAGCAAACTCTGGAGGTCACCTAGTCCAACCCCTGCTTACAGAACGGCTGATTTGATCAGGATGAGAAGAAATTTGTTCCCTCAAGACTAGAACACCTGGTTGTGGATGGAGTAGACACACTTCACTTGTAAGAGAGAAGCAACAGTATATTTATAGATACAAAACAACAATTTTGTGTCTATAACAGTAAAGTTTAGTAGTAAATGTGACAGTGTTTTAACAAGATTCAGTGGCAAGGTACACTTTATTATTTGCTGCATAGAGGACAGGGTCAGTCAAAACTGCCAGGCAGACCCTCTTGCTCTCATGAGGTTGAGAAAGGAGCCCCTTGCGTTCTAAGCTCCTTCTCAGAAAGAAGTTTAAGCGCAGCTGGATCCAGACTTTGCCCCAAACTTGGTCAACAACTTATGTCTAAAGGATTATATGTGCACAATCAACCTTTTATATCACTTAGCTAAGATTTCTAAGTTTTGCACTTACTGGGTGTCTGAGGCAATAAGGAATCTCTCAGCCTCGGAGAGTAACCTTGAGATGCATCCCTACTCAAGAGAAGATCCTGGCATGCAGCCCTGTGAGAAATTTGCTCACTTCTAAAAAAAATTTATTGGGGATAAAGTCAATGGATCAAAGAAAACAGCGCTGGTGCATGACCATAGCCAGAGGCACACCGTTATACCCATACACAAGCTTTTTATCCATTCCATATTGCATCAGCCGAATACACATTCATAGTTATCCCGAGAACATGGAGGAATTATTACAATTGCTTCTCCGAAAGGATTTACAGAAGTCCATCCTGGTCTCCTCCTTTTGGTGCATGCTCTCTGCCTCCTGGTGGTCATCTCGGGGGTCTTTGGGGATGAAGTAAGATGTCTTCCTCTAAGGTGAACTTTTCACCCTGGGTCTTGAGCCAGTTCTGACCAGTCCTGTGGATGTTAGTTCTTTCAGTTTCTTTCACTGGTGTTACATTACAGGATGGTAATGATTGATAAGCCTTTATCTTGTGCAGGCCACATATGCTTGGCAAAAGCAAAATTTCATTAACACTTTATTACCTCTCACAGCCCCGTACCATGCAGGAGAGCCCAGTGGGTACTGTGCTATCCATTATTTATGGAGTAAGGTAATTGACTTATAGTCGTATTTGTACAGTGACATGTTTCTTCCAAAGCTGGCTTGAGCCTGACCTTAACCAGCACTGTGGTTAGGGAGTGCATCGCTCAAATTACATTTAGCTATAGTGTTGTTGTCTGTCTCCCCTGAACCTACTTTGAGCCTTACACAGCCACCGCACCCAGACATACCATTACGACTGCTGGTTTCCCGTAACACCTCAGCAGGGTTACGGGAAATAAAGCTGAGGCTGGGAGTGGTAGAGGGGAGGGAGAGGACCACCCCGAGGGCTCTGCGCAACTCACCCGAGCACCTAATACCCCTCAGTCAGAGCAACACGGCTACCGCTGCGGAGCTGCGGCAGCGCCGAAATACCTTTACACCTGCACCGCCACAGAAGCGGCCGCGCACGTAACACCCTCACCATGCTCTCCCGCTACCGCTCCTCTGCGGGGCGGGACCTCTCGGCCGCGGCCCCTCCCCTCCAGTCCCGTTCAGGTGGCAGCGCATCTCCCTCCGCTCCGCCGCGGGCAGCGGAGTTCACGAAGAGGCGGGCTTGGACCCCATTCTGCTGAGCGCGGAGGAGGTTAAAGTGGCCTCAGGGCACGGTAACGCACTTGAAAAGCCCCCTCAGGTCGTGCTGCCGCCGCTGACGACAGCGTTACAGCTCCGCGGTAGCTAGGACAGCTTACTGGTACTTAAGCGATCTACCGATTAGAATCAGAATTACTTGTGAGACCTGCCCGCGGCGCTCACACACCGTTCAGACGCCTCCCGGCAGAAAAGCCCTCATTCAGCGCAGGTGGAACAGCGCGTCCCCCGGTTCCTGCCGCTGCCCCCCATCCCACAGGGGAAATACAGCCACTTGGTGGCGTGGCTGCTGCCGCCCCGCAGAGCCCCGGCTCTGACGCTGCAATGATAAGACAGCTTCACGCTGTGGAGGGCAAATCCACTTTATAATTCAGCACCGCGTTGCACAACAGCACGGTCCGGTTACACACACAGGACATTTACTGCCCCGTCGCCTTTCACTCCACTACAGGTTGAGACTCTGGTCCCCCTTCCTAATCTGCATTTTACTTAACCTACAGAATGATCATGGAATCATTGAATGAGTTGGGATGGAAGGGACCTTAAAGATCAGTATACTTCCAGCCCCCTGCCATGGGCAGGGACACCTTCCAGTAACCAGGCTGCTCAAAACCCCATCCAACCTGGCTTTGAATACTGCCAGGGATGTGATTCTTAGGGTGAACCAGCGTTGTGTTCACAATCCTCAATCCCCTTGCCGGAGCTAGCACCTTTCTGAAATTAATGTTCAGCCAATGTCAGCCTTTTAGTCTCACATGCTTCAGCTGTGCTGATTTAGGCAGGTGTTTGATTCACTGCTGCCCCCCATACATCTAATCAAGAAAGTGTGTCCTGGGATTCTCTTGTTTGACGTCGGGCTTCCGGTTGCAAACTGAAGTCACAAACCACACTCTTCCATTGGAGGGGGAAAAAAGGCTGACTTAGAAGCCTAATGAAAGAGAATAAAAACGTCAAAAGAAAAACAGGAAGTCAGCAAACTAAGCTAAACCCTCAAATTCCCTTGGCAGGTGCCCTGAAAAAGCGGCTGGAGCTACTGTCTTGACTCCAGCTGCGTCTCGAGACACAGCCAGCCTAGCGCAAAGGAAAGCCGGTCCCGCAGGCGCTTACTGCGTGCCTGTGGTGTTCCGTCCCCTCCGCCCCCAGCTACCCAGGCTTGTGGAGCTGCCCGGCTCTCACCACCCCCAGCCAGCCTCCTCCCCTTACCGCTGCCCGGCCCCTCTGTTCCCCACAGCCACAAACGGCCACCGAACAGCCGCCTGCCCCTGCCCGGACAGCCTGAGCTTTCAGCAGGAACAGCGCAGCCGCCGCCAAACCCCAGCACCCCGCTCGGAACTGCCGCCAAACCCCAGCACCCCGCTCGGAACTGCCGCCAAACCCCAGCACCCCGCTCGGAACTGCCGCCAAACCCCAGCACCCCGCTCGGAACTGCCGCCAAACAAGCAGTTTGGCGCGGGGGGTTGTGGGTGACGTAGTCCCTGCCGCGCCAGCGGGCCCAAGCGGCCGTGACGCTCCGTGTCCTTCGCAAGGCACTGTGGGTGTTGTAGGAGCAGGCACGCGAGCCAATAGAAGCCGTCGTTTCCAAAGCGCTCAAGTACGTAGCTAGCACTCGCCGAGGGACGTGTTTTCTCTTTCTGATATCATTGGCCAATAAGAGGGCGTGGCAGGCGAGCAACTCCTTCCTCAAGCCAATCGGAGTGGGCCATGTAGAGCAGGCGGTTCCCCGGAGGAGTGCGTGTGCCGCCGCCAGCAGCCGTAGTTGTTCGTCAGCGCGGCCGGCAGATTGGTGCGGCGGGGCGGTGGGCGGGGCGAGCAGGCCACAGTCAGGGGGTCGGAGTCAGGGCCACTCAGCGTCGCTGGCCCTTCGGGAGCCCGGCGGGATGGGGCGGCGGGTGCGCCTGTCGCTGCTGTTATGCCTCGTGGTGCTTTGGGTCGCAGGACTGGCCGCCGCCGGTGAGTACCGGGTTTCCGGCTTTCCGCACCCCGCTCGGCCTGGGCACTGCGTTGGCCTTGCCCCCCGTGGCCTGCTGCGGGGGAGCCGGGTGCGCGCTGCCGTGCTGTCTGTGGGAGTCATGGTGCCGCCGCTGGGGCGCGGAGGCGGTGACAGCGGGGGAGGAGGCCTCTGTGTCTTCGCTGGGGCTTTGGGGTGTGAGGGGGCAGCTCTGTCCTGGCCAGGGTGCTGAGTCGGCGGAGGGAAGGAAGAGAGCTGAGTTCCTGTCAGCTGCTTGGCCGCGAATAGCCGGGCTCCCGGGGGACGGCGGGGCCATAGCTCACCTTATGCCTGCTGTTTTCTGGGGGCTGTTCGGTAGTTTAGCTTAGCCTCTGCCTTTAAACAGCCCGTTAGAAGCCTACTTTGTAATGCGTGCTCTGTTCAAAACCAAAATGAGACTTTTTTTTTCCTTACTAGTACACATTTTCTTGCTGAGGAGCTGATAGTACTGATGTTAGCTTTATCAGAACGGTTTTCGTACACATATATAGAGAGAGCATTTCTGGGGCCTGCATTATGTCGCAATAAAACCTTTTTTCCAGTTTCTTTTGTTGTTACGCAGCATGGCTTTTGTATGCTCCTCATGTGTTGTCACCTACTTCCTTTCATGGGGTTCCTACCTCCCACATCCTTCTTTCCACCACGAGCGGGTGGGGGGAATGTGCAATGCATTTATTTATATAGTGTTTCTAAAGGCAGAAAGCACTCCTTTAATAGACATCCTTATCCACTGCTACTGGAGATGTGCTTTTAGGCTGTCAGTGGGATTTCAGAAAAGGCTTTCTCTAGAGCTAAGTTGTGTGGTTTGGGGTTCAGTACTAGGAAGTTGAAATTTAAAGTTATGTTACTGAAGTTCAGATTCAGATTATGTAGTTCAGATATCAAGCACAGTTACTTGAGCTTTGTAGGTATTGCTACAAGCAAGCAGGACTCTTGGCAAGGTGTGGAGAAGGTACATAAGGGTTCTGTAAAGCCAGAGAGATGTACCTAGACTTCTAATGGCATGTTCTCGCAGATAGTGTATATAAAGAAAAAAACTAAAGTGAAATGAGACTTTCAGTGTTGGATGAATCATCTGCTGTGTACGTGGAAGTGTGGATGTTAGGTGACAGAATTAAGGTCTGTTCAGGTGTGCACGTATGCTGTGCAGTTCTTTTGACTGTTTGTCCAGTATCACAGAACTGTGTAAATATGAAGTTCCGATAGCTTAATTCAGCCTTTGAAAACTATATGCTTAGAATCAGTTGAACTAATAATGATTAGTAGGCCCAAGAAAGCACATGATACAGTGTATGAAGGATTAGGAGCTATTGCCAAACTTAAATCACTACTGTGGGGTAAACTGTTGATTAATAGCCAAAATTAATTAGGAGAAGGTGTACAGAGTCCAGCTTTTGGCAGCAAATTGTAACAGAAGCATATTTCTTGCTCAGATTTTTGTCAGGAACCATTCTGAAATAAAATAAGTCATCACGTCATCAGTGTTTTGATTTCCTACAGTAACACAATCCCTTTCTCCAGTCTGGTACAAGCTTAGAGACTGTGCATTGAATGCTTCCTTAAACACTTGTTCATTCGTAATGTCTGGTCTGGAAACAGTCATCTAGAATGTGAGTACATTGAAGGGAGGAGTTTTAAGAAGGATGAGTAAAAATGGTTTAAGTATTACATTTCCTGACTTCAGAAGATGGTTTTTAATGAGGATTTTTTTTTTTTTTTTTAACTAGTGGGTCTTTTAACTATAGCTTTAAATCCTAACTCTGTACTCATGAACTTTGCTTAAATCAATTTATTGAGAACTGGAGGTGAATGTAAGAAAACTCGGGCCAAAAGAAACGGGCACTATATTTTAAAGTTATGATATTAATACAGATTATACAGAAGTTGCACACTGGGGCCTGGGGAAAGAATATTAAGGAGTCTGTGGGCAATTGTCAAAAGCAGCAAAAAAATGGTGACTCTGTGTGTGTTACAGATGAAGCTGCGTATCTTTTACTTACCACAGCAGCGATGGCCTACTGCTGCTTCTGTTGATTGTTCACTGAGAATGTTGAAAAAAAGTTCTCTTTTTTTTTTTTCTGATTGATGGTAGTGTTTGATTCTTTTTTTATTTTTCTCATTTCCTCAGACTAAGTGGTAGAAATTCTGTCATTCTACCTGAAGAAAGCAGAAGTGATTCACGCTCTGACTGGCCTTCACCTTCCATGGTTAACTTTAGTGATAGGCAGAGGTTTTCATACTGTCTCATTAACTGATAGGACAAATGGGCAGTCACATACTTGTAGGAAGCTCTGTACCTAGTCTCTCAAAAGACACAGCTCAGTGGCTTTCCCTGACCCTTCTGATTTTACTTAAATGAAATATGTTCCCTAAATTTGTTGCCTGATAAGGAATCTCAGTTCCTACAGAGAAACTGCTGGAGAGTAAGGTTTGTAAATAGTTATCCAGCAATTGCAAGGGGACTGGAAAAAACTATTTGTATTCAGTGTGAAGGTTGACCCATATCTTAAACATGAAGTTGCACTAAAATGAATACACTGCACAGATTTTAGCTAGGAACAATTTACTTACTGCCAAGGATATCTGAAATCAGTCTTGCTAAATAGATGCCACTTAAGGATTTTTACTTAACTCGCTGCATGCTTTAGAGGTGTGCATAATAAGAATAGCGTCTATGCTACAGAGTCTGTTTCTGTGCTGAATTTAAAGTTGAAAAAGTCATGAGAAGCGATGTCAGGTAATATTTTTCTGAAGATTTCTTTTTTTCCTGCAAGAATAGGGTAAACAGGCTTTGCATTCCCTTTTGAAGTCTAACTAGTCAGTTTCACAAAAAGAACATTGAAAGAAATAACTAAAAGTACCACAGAAATATCTCTGGATACTCTAAAGCAGTTGTTTCCAAGCCTTTTTTTGCTCATATACCACTCTCATTAAAAGAAAAAAAAAAAAAGCATGCATCTTCAATATTGAACTTACTAAAAAATTTCTGTGTGCTACCATACTAACGTATTATACACATCATAAAACATGGACAAAAACAGAAATGAAAAAAAAGTGTGATAAAGGTGAAATGAACACTCTATTAAGAGAAGTTTTTATTTATTAGTGGTACAAAAAGTATTTCCTTCCTGCACCCCCAGTGGGTTGGTTAGTGTACCTACTGGGATGTACATCACTTCAGACTCTTACCAGTTGCTTTCTTGTAATTGTGTTTGAAGTTTGAAGAGATTGGCAAAAACTGAAAGGAAACTGACTACAGTGACAGGGCATTCATCAGAACTTTGGGAGATAGCCACAGAGTTTTTAAGTGCAAGCTGCTGGCAGTTTCCCAAAGGTGAGTGACCATTCTAACGTTGAAACTAATAGTATTTCTTGTCTGGTAGTAGCAGTCATTCTGCTTTATAGATTTGTCAGTTGATGTGTTCTTCTAATACAGCAAAACTTTGGAACTGTTTGGCTTCCTCAAGTGAATGACATTCTTGCTGATTCACACTGTGTAGGTCTTCTTGTTTCTGCCCCTCTCTCCATAGTGCTCTTTTGAAAATGGTAATTCTCACAAAATGATAGGATCTTTAGGATCTTTTTATCTAGCAGAGGTTGCCAGAGTACTTTGCTATATTTAAATTGACTGAACACTGGTATTTCTAATTGAGGAAAAATGAATAATTTTTAAAGCTGATTTTAAATATATATGAAGTGGTGGATGGCTGAAACAAGTGTTTGGCTCTCTGGAGTGCTCTGGAGTCGCAGGTGGGCATGAGAGCACCCAGTAGTGTCTATAGCTCAGCACTGTATGTAAGTGAAGCATTCTGTACAATGCTGGCAGCTCCCCCTTTCAGCTACAAGTGGTTTTGCCTACTTTTTACTTTCAATATATTATTACATCTCCCTAATTCATTTAACAAATGGTAGGGTTAATTTCCAATTGGCCTTTTCAGAAGAGGTTTATAGACTTAGGCAGCCTTGGTAACAGACCCAAATTTAAAAAAAAAAAAAAAAGGTTACTATTTTTAATGTAACTGTGGAAAACCAAACTAAACTATCAGCTTTAATCTCTGAAGCAGGTGTACAAGCATAACATCTGTGACTTTGTTCAGTAGTTGAGCTTTGACTAGTAAACTCTTCTTAGGTCAAACTATGACCTTCCATAGATCTTTCATTAACACTTTCAGAACAGTTTTCTTAACTGTTTCTTAGAAGTAGACACACTTCTATGAATAGCGGGTGTGTATTAGTCAGCACTTCTACAAAATAACAAGGCTATAAATGATCCCTCCTCTAGTCACGTTATCAGTCATTACTGCAACCTCATCTGCCTAACTTAGAAGGAAGTCCCAGAACTGAGAAGAGTTAAACTTACACATTTTGTTGTTGCTTTAGTGCTGTTTTGGAACTAGTGTTTTGAAAACAGTTTGCCAAGTGCAACTTCTTACGAACAAAGCCGGCTCCTTTAGAGAGAATTAAAATGATGCAATAGAAATGAAACAGGTTTATTTATTTTCAAGGAGTAAGAGCAAGCATTTAATGAGCTCTACGTTATGTTGCACAGATGTCTCTTACCTTTCAATTCAGTAAATCTTTTTCTTTCCATATGAGATTACAATAAAATTGTTCTTTGATAAGTGTCCCTAAATGGTATACCCTCTTTATATTTGACTTTGTGTGGTCATTTCTTGTAAAGTCCACAAACTGAAATCAGTTAATAAAGCCTTTACCAAAAAGTTAGAATGGTCTAGTGCTGTCAGTCACATAGGCTGATTTTAAGCAGACCAAACAAAACACCCTAGCTGGTATAGCTGTTAAAAACAACATGATGTTTGTTACTGCAGGAACAGGTATTGTATAAGTGCTTTGTATATATTAATAGTAGCATACAGGCTACTTGGTAGGTTAACTCTGTTTTCATTTTCTCCCACTCCAGAAGCATGTATGAATCTCTTGACAAGCTCTGGAGTTTGACGTTGTAGGAGTGGCGTTTGGTTTTAGGATGGTAGCATGTAATTTGTGGGAAAGAAGGTAAACCTGACTTTATCTCATGGTTTCAAAATGCAAAGGACCAGCAAGTATTATAAATGCATATGTACTTTTACTGTATTTAAATAAACAGCTGTTACATGGTGATCTGAAGTGTTGAAGTTCAGTGATAGAACTTCCTATGACTTACCACAATCGGGCTTATCAGTTAGATTGCTCAAACTGATAAGCACTGTGGTCTCTGGCAGAAATTCAGCTATTTTTCCCTTGTTTTTTCCTTATGATGCTTTTGATGTTTTTTCAAATCTCTGTGTGTTCTTATACTGTCTTGGTTGCTACTTGCAGGGCCTGTTTCATCTGGAGTGACCTTTGCTGTCTGCAGTAGTTTTACTGAAGGGCTCTACATGCATTCATTTTTGAACCTGTAGGTTACAGCTGCTTACCAACATCATCTGTTCTAGATATTTGTGATCCTGTGTCTGCTGGCTGTCAAACTTTTTGAGCTTTACATATTATTCATTATGTTCAACAGAATATCATCTCTTTGTCTCAGTTGCACTATCAAACTCGTCACCTTAGTTTTGCAGCTTCACTTGTAAGTCTTTGCATTCCTTCTTGGTTTTTATTTTATGCTGGTTTAGCTTGAATTTGATTCTCATCTTTTTACTTGTTCTAATCAAAGGTTATATTTCAAATAACAGTTTGGAAATCACTTTCTGGAACCTGACTTCCAAGATTAGCCCTTTCATTGCAAATACACGTGGTTGCACTGTTATAGTAATAGTCTTCAGAACATGTACTGAGGGTGTCATGTCTGTAGTTTGACACTTCAGAGATGATTTCTCTCTGATAAGATACTTTATTTGCATGAGGATTAGAGGTATGTAAGTTTTCTTTGCTACCAAATGGTTACTGAAAGTTAGCAGAACTCTATAAACTTTTTAATTTTGTTGGCATTCAGTATTTGTCTTTAATAGCTACCTGTAACGTATTAAATGGTGTATTTCATGTACAGGGTACTAACTTCTATCAGTTTAAGTACTTTTTCTAGTCACAGTGCAGATCTCCAGCCTTTCAGTGTCTTACCACTGCTATAGGGGATTATACATCTCGGAGTCTCAGAAGGGGTTTTCTAAATGTAGTAGGAGTTAGTGGCAGATTTGCTTAGTTATCTATTTATACTTTGAGCTTTTATTTTGGTTTAACTGAGTTGTGTACCAGAGGGAGGGAGGTCTGTAGCACCTTCTTTCAAATGTGTGTGGGTGAATGGTTGTTTATCTGAAAGAGGTAATATCAGATACTGCTGACTGAGAACAGTCATGTTATGGAAGTGATAAACTTAGAGGCTTTCAGTCAAGATGTGTATGAACCATGTTGTTTGAACCACAATGAGTAGCCCATTTAAGTTGCAGGAAGAAAGGAAATGAAACACAGCTCAGAAAACCAGTGGTGAAACTGTCATAAATAAGATTTTCTGATTATCTCCGCCATCCTTTTCAACTCTGTTCCTTTATGTCTCTGCCTAATATCATTCCTTTTTCATTTAGCATTTTTTTCTCTTTCCAGTCTTTCTAATCAAATATCATAGCCCATTCAGATAAGAAAGATGGCAGTTAAACAAGGCTTGCAGCTCTTGAACGGTATCTTGAAGACAATCTAGTTTCTCACAGTTGTGGAAAGAGACCTCTATATAAAGGTTTGAATATGCTGGTCAGGCAAAATGAACTGGCTTTCTGTAAAGAACACTGGTTAAATAGGGTAGTGTTAATGTAATTTTCTGGTCACTACCGAAGCTGTTTATATTAAAGTTGATTTGGTGACTAGAAGCCTTAAATTCCATTGATGCTTTTCAGTTGATTCATACCTCTTTAGGTAGTTTAGTTGGACTGGATTGATTCAGACTGTATATCAATCTAGAGGCTTGATTTGGGTTAAAAAAAAAAAAAATCCACACTTTTTTCCAGTGTTGGGTAAACAGTTGTGTTGGCATAACTGAAGGAAGAAGAAGATCATCTTGCTAGAATTAAACTTAGCTAGAGGTATTAAAGATAACAGGAAGGGATTCTACAGGTACATAGCAAATAAAAAACAGACTAGGGAGAATGTAGGACCCTCAGGAAGCTCTCGGGAGAACTGGCTGCACAGGATTTGGAGAAGGCTGAGGTTCTGAATGACTTCTTTGCCTCGGTCTTCACTGGCAAAGGCTCTGACCAAACCACCCAAGTCTTGGAAGGCAGATGCAGGGACTGTGAGAATGAAGACCTTGGGCCCACTGTAGGAGAGGATCTGGTTCGAGATCATCTTAAAAATCTGAACGTGCACAAGTCCATGGGTCCTGATGAGATCCATCCGCGGGTCCTGAAGGAGCTGGTGAATGAAGTTGGGAAGCCCCTGGCCATCATATTTGAGAAATCATGGCAGTCAGGTGAAGTTCCTGATGACTGGAAAAAGGGAAATATAACCCCCATTTTCAAGAAGGGGAAAACGGATGCCCTGGGGAATTACAGACCAGTTAGTCTCACCTCTGTGCCTGGCAAAATCTTGGAGCAGATTCTCCTGGATGGCGTGCTAAGGCACATGAAAATCAACAAGGTGCTTGGTGACAGCCAGCATGGCATCACTAAGGGGAAATCCTGCCTGATCAATTTGGTGGCCTTCTATGATGGGGCTACAGAACTGAGGGACAGGGGTAGAGCAGTTGATGTCATCTACCTGGACTTGTGTAAAGTGTTCGACACTGTCCCAAACGACATCCTTGTCTCTAAATTGGAGCAACATCAATTTGATGGATGGGGCACTCAGTGGATAAAGAACTGGCTGGATGGCCGCACACAAAGAGTTGTGGTCAATGGCTCAATGTCCGGCTGGAGACCAGTAACGAGTGGTGTCCCTCAGGGATCTGTGTTGGGACCGGTCTTGTTCAACATCTTTGTTGCTGACGTGGACAGTGGGATTGAGTGCGCCCTCAGCAAGTTTGCTGATGACACCAAGCTGTGTGGTTCGGTTGATACGCTGGAGGGAAGGAATACCATCCAGAGGGACCTTGACACACTTGTGAGGTGGGCTGATGCCAGCCTCATGAAGTTTAACCATGCCAAGTGCAAGGTCCTACACCTGGTTCAGAGCAATCCCAGGCACAGCTACAGGTTGAGCAGAGAAGAGATTCAAAGCAGCCCTGTGGAGAAGGATTTGGGGGTGTTGGTTGATGAGAAAATGAACAGGAGCAGGCAGTGTGCACTTGCAGCTCAGAAAGCCAACCGTATCCTGGGCCGCATCAAAAGGAGAGTGACCAGCAGGTTGAAGGAGGTGATCCTGCCCTTCTACTCTGCTCTCGTGAGACCTCACTTGGAGTATTGTGTGCAGTTCTGGTGTCCTCAACATAAAAAGGACCTGGAACCGTTGGAACAAGTCCAGAGAAGGGCCACGAGGATGATCAGGGGACTGGAGCACCTCCCGTCTGAAGACAGGCTGAGAAAGTTGGGGCTTTTCAGCCTGGAGAAGAGAAGGCTGCGTGGAGACCTCATAGCAGCTTTCCAGCATCTGAAGGGGGCCTATAGGGATGCTGGGGAGGGACTCTTCATTAGAGACTGTAGTGACAGGACAAGGGGTAACGGGTTAAAACTTAAACAGGGGAAGTTTAGATTGGATATAAGGAGGAAATTCTTTCCTGTTAGGGTGTTGAGGCACTGGAATAGGTTGCCCAGGGAGGTTGTGAATGCTCCATCCCTGGCAGTGTTCAAGACCAGGTTGGACGAGGCCTTGGGTGATACAATTTAGCGAAAGGTGTCCCTGCCCATGGCAGGGGAGTTGGAACTAGATGATCTTGAGGTCCTTTCCAACCCTAACTATTCTATGATTCTATCTGTGAAACTTTTGATTCCTCCTGACAACACTAATAGTCTTTCTGAAGTGCATTAGTCAACTTAGTGCATTAGAATATCCTAGAACCATGGTACAATAATATAGCTTAATTTATTTTTAAGAAAATAATTAATGGAAAAGCTTTTCTGACTTGTGACATCTCTTCTAGATGAAGAGGGAAATCAGGATGAATCACTGGAGTCAAAGGTGAGGAAATAAGTTTCTAGTCATTCTCTTTTTCTTGTGGACTGAGAGGAAAGGTCTGAAACTGAGAACTATAATTTGGTTCCTATAGTAAACTGTTCTGTAACTCTTGCTGTCTCATTAATTTCTTCTGTGCGTCATAAGAATTAATGTGTTATGCTTGTATAATTTTTTTCTCTTCAAAGAACTGAAAGGGGTAGAGTCAATGAGAGCTGATAGAGGTAGCTCAACTTTTTATGCTACTGTTTAAACTCTAGTGTTTTAATAATATTTTTAATAATTTGGGGTTTTCAGCTGCTGGTCAGTTTCTAATTGTCTATATTATGTGGCTGCTTTCCTTCAGACTTTATCTGCAGAGGACCAGGTAAAGGACCATTCCACAGGAACTCGAGTGGTAGCAGGTCAGATCTTCCTCGAATCAGGGAAATCGGACTCTCAGTCAGAGGATGAAGAGAACTTTCACAGTCAAGAGGAGGAAAAAGAAAATTCGCTAGAAGAATTGAACTCTCTAGAAATGTCAAATCTATTAAATAAAGACTTGGAAGAAGCAGAAGTACAGAGTCCAGGTAACTACTCATAGACTTTTGAACAAGTGGCAGTAAAGATGCATCTGAGTAACTTTGGCATGTGAATAAATACAAAACTAGTAATTTTGAACATAAAATAACTAGCATCTTAACCTTTCTGGAATAGAATGGTAATTTCTGCCTTTTCCATTAGAAAATAACATCAAAAAGTTTTCATGTATATCATGACTGAAATCTGAGTGGTTATTTTTAGATGCATTTGAAAAATTTTTCCTTAATTCTTGTTGTTTCCATCTTGTTGGAAAGCTTTAACTATCAAATGGAGAAAACTTAATTTCTTCAAATAGGACTCAAGTATACATACTATGCTGTGTATACATATACCGGCCATAGAAGGAGAAATTGCGTCAGTGTTTCAGTCTCTGGGCTGTTTGCCTGGAGAAGCAGTTGAAGAGAAGGAACAAATAGTGATGCAAAGACAAGCTTCCTAGAACAGCATTGGGAGCCTTAGGGCAACATCTAAATTGCATGTAGATTTCAGTAAACTTTTGAATACAGGTAAAACCTTATGTCCTTGTGTATAAATTCCCAGAAAATCCTAGTATTTCTTTTTTACTACTAATAAAAATATAAACTTGATATAATTTTCTTGACGTGCAGTTAATATTAGGCGATAACTAAATAGCACAGTTGAGTACCCTAGCCTATGTAGCAAAGGCTTTTCCTTTTCACTTGTTCATAAGATGCAGCTCATAGAATTGTAGAATAGTTAGGGTTGGGAATGACCTTAAGATCATCTAGTTCCAACCCCCCTGCCATGGGCAGGGACACCTCTCACTAAACGATGTTGCCCAAGGCTCTGTCCAACCTGGCCTTGAACACCTCCAGGGATGGAGCATTCACAACTTTGCTGGGCAACCCATTCCAGTGCCTCACCACCCTCACAGTGAAGAACTTCTTCGTTATATCCAATCTAAACTTCCCCTGTTTAAGTTTTAACCCGTTACCCCTTGTCCTACCACTACAGTTCCTAATGAAGAGTTCTTCTTCAGCATCCTTATAGGGCTCCTTCAGATACTGGAAGGCTGCTATGATGTCTCCACTCAGCTGCCTTTTCTCCAGGCTGAACAGCCCCAACTTTCTCAGCCTGTCTTCATACAGGAGGTGCTCCAGTCCCCTGATCATCCTTGTGGCCCTCCTCTGGACTTGTTCCAACAGTTCCATCTTCAACTTTACTGAAAAAATATAGTTACATGGTAATACTAGTATTAATCTTATCTTCTCAACTCAGATTTGAATATGAAAAGAAAGCCGGAGTTCTGAAATGAGCTGTGTTATGTTCTGACTGTTTTCTAATAAGCCATCGTTACTAATACAGAACTAGTATACAGTTCATCAAAACTCAGTAATAGGATTAACTATTGGTGCCAATAGGCATGGTGTTGTACTGAAAAAAGTATATAAAATCCACTAAATAGCTTGCTGCCACAAAACAGTGAGCTAACAGCATACTTAGCGCAGTCTGTTTCAAAAGAAAACTTTGGGGTACTTCTGATCTCACACAGGAAGATGCAACCAGATTGCTTGCTCCCTGGCAGCTACAGTTCTTAACTACACCTGTCAGAGTACAAGTGGCTTTCAAAAACCACAAATTTAAAGTCTTGCACAGTTTTTGGAACCTCTTAAGAAGTAAGTAAGTGATGTGGATGGAAGGATTACTCATTTTATCGAAGAAGCAATTCTGAAGGAAAAGTACTTGTATTCTGGTAGGGGAAAAAAGCCTGCTAAAGGGCAGCTTTACTTGCAGACTTTAACTGAGCAAGACGGGAATCTAGCTCAGCTATGTATGTTGCATCTCTTACATGAGCTCCTGGTGACAGGACTGCATTTAGGGAGAATAAAGCTTTTTTTAAATAGTTTGGCTCCTGTGTATAGTCATGAGATTACACAGGGGACAAAAAAAAAAGGATTCTTCAGGTTTCCACATGTATTTTGCAGGAAATTGAGCTGACAAAAAAAAAAAATCCGCAGTAATTTAAAATTAGTACTACTTGGGCTTTTAACCTAAGAAAAAAATTGTCCTATTCTCTTCTGATTAGTGAAGAGGTATTTGGTGTATAGGAAGTGGTGTTTTTGTAGTTTTGTTTTTGTAACAATAGAGTTCTATGTTGACAGTTTTTGCTGAAAAGTGCCCATGATTTCATACAGAGCTGACAATTCCTGCTGTGTTTATTTTCCTATTTGGAAGACTCTTATAGTAATGTAATCAGTACTTAAAAGTAATCCATATTTGAGGTTTCTGCAGAGTAAAATATGAGATGAGATATACCTAAATCAGGACAAAAATATAATGATAATATGTCTGATTATATGGCATTTTAAAACTGGTCAATTGCTACTTGTACACTCAATTTCACAAAAAATAATTTATCCTCTGAGTAAATTATTTACCTAAGTTTGTATTTATCATTCTTTAGGTACATGAAAAACTGGTGCTTTTTATCCTGCGATTGCATTGCTGTTTTGCTGTAGGGTTTGTTACTATCTGGGGGGCAAAACAGCATTATAGTTGAATTTAGAACCTTAAAAAAGGTAGAGAAGAAGTGTTGCAGAGTAATTTCATAACTTTAATGTACAGCTACCTCTTATGCAGAGCACTATAAAAATGTTTAATCTTCTATTACTCGTAATACAAGAGAGCAAGGTACTGAACAATACAAGTAAAACTTCAATTTCTCAAGTAATGTTAAAATCCTGGGGCTGGAATTTGTTCAAATGACAGTCTTAAGTGGTCCCATCAGTTGCAGTTATATGTACACTTAGCACAAATTTGTGCATCACTCTGTGGTTAGCAGATACATAAATTGATTCCAGGCTAATTGCATCTGGGTACATTATTTTTGAATGCAGCTTCTGAAAATAACATTTTTCCTTCTGTGTTATGGGGTAATTAATTTGGAGTGGTGTGGTGAAACATCTGCCAAGGAATTGAATTATGAAGAGCAATTTGGAGGGCTAACTAATCCAGGAGACTTCCTTATGCTTCAAAAAATCAACATGAAATTTTATAATTAGTATGGTCTGTAGGCATTACAATTATAAACCTTGAAAAAAGAGCTTTCTCTATAACCACAAGAATTACAAACTTAGCTTGGAAAAACATCGTATAATTGAAATTCTCAATTTCATGGCTTCGCAAATGTCTTCAAATGAAGTAGAACACAACTGCTGTATTTAGCTTAGTGAAAGAGAAAAATCTTTATAAAATGCTAATTGAAATAATTTCTGTATCAAAAAATGAAGATAATTCTTAGTCTTCATAGAAGATTGATTTTATTTAAAAATATTCCAGTATTAGAATCAGTAATCTTGAAGTCCTAATGCATGCCAAATAATAAATCATGCTGTTCAAAGTAATTTTGAATGCAACTTAAATATATTTGTGAAGTGAAATTAAGTTTTTAATATTAGTATACACAACAATAGAAAATTACTAGACTTACGGCTTCATTTAAGTCTTGTCTTACAGTTGTATGTATAAAGTGTACTTCCTAGTGATATTCAAGTACTTTCAGTGTCGCATTTGGCGATGTGAGTAGTTCTGTCAAGATTATGTCAAACCTTGGGGCTAAAAGGAATATATGTACAAGAATGCACTTTAAGGGTGGTCTTTTGCATCAGGAAGGGAGTGCAGAGAAGACAAAATGAAAAGAAGGGCAGTTTATTTTGGTAGGAAATAAAAATATAACAGATTTGCCTTCTCCAGTCTCAACTAAAGTATTTTCTATTGTGAAGTGTCATGGCAGGAGGCTTGGAACTAGATGATCTTAAGGTTCTTTCCAATCCTGAGCATTCTGATTTTTGTTGCTTAGAACTAAAGGATATAAGAAACTTATACCTTCTGTTTCATTTCCTAATTAAAAATAAGAATAATGTACTTTTAAGACCTATTTAGAAAAATAATTGCTTTTCCAGGCTTTTGTAAATCAGAAATTTTACTGAAACCTTTATTAAATGAACTTCACAGAAATTGAAAACAACATATGAGTGCTTTCCTGAATGTAGTAGGTGACTTCAATTTGTGAAATAAAGGAAATCAGTCTTAATTCCTGAGTGTGTATTTGCAGTTTTGACAGCTATAGGAGGCACTGCAGATGGTGAACCTTGCCACTTCCCCTTTTTGTTTATGGAGAAGGAATATCCAGAGTGCACTGCAGATGGGAGGGAAGATGGCAGGCTTTGGTGTGCAACAACCTACGATTACAAGAAAGATCAAAAGTGGGGCTTCTGTGAAAGTAAGTAATTTGATGTCTTGAACAAGTCCTTAATTGTTTTAGTCCTTCTCATGCTCTTTATTTCAGGGTCTAGAAGTCCCTGTCATATATTAATGTAGGCTTTATACTGTGATACACAAGTAATTACAAAGGCAAAGTTCTCATGATGGAAGATTATAATGCAAATGCCACTTCCCAGAACTCTTTGGGAAATCTTGCAGTGGAAGCATCTACAAAACTCTTATTTTCTGAGGCTGTCAGAGTATAGCGGTTTGACAATGTTTCCCACTGTATGCATTGATCTGTTGCATGAAGGCAACCCTTCTCTTAAAAACCTCCTGAAGGAGGAAACTTTTTCTTCCTTGCACAGCTTGTTGTAGAGCAATTTAAAAGAATATTTTGACAGCAAATTTAGAATAATAGAATAGTTAAGGGTTGGAAAGGACCTCAAGATATCTAGTCTCAACCCCCCTGCCATGGGCAGGGACACCTTTTGCTAAATCATATCACCCAAGGCCTCATCCAACCTGGTCTTGAACACTGCCACGGATGGAGCATTCACAACCTCCCTGCGCAACCCATTCCAGTGCCTCAACACCCTAACAGGAAAGAATTTCCTCCTTATATCCAATCTAAACTTCCCCTGTTTAAGTTTTAACCTGTTACCCCTCGTCCTGTCACTACAGTCTCTAATGAAGAGTCCCTCCCCAGCATCCCTATAGGCCCCCTTCAGATACTGGAAGGCTGCTATGAGGTCTCCACGCAGCCTTCTCTTCTCCAGGCTGAACAGCCCCAACTTTCTCAGCCTGTCTTCATACGGGAGGTGCTCCAGTCCCCTGATCATCCTCGTAGCCCTCCTCTGGACTTGTTCCAACAGTTCCATGTCCTTTTTATGTTGAGGACACCAGAAATGCACCCAATACTCCAGGTGAGCTCTCGACAAGAGCAGAGTAGAAGGGCAGGATCACCTCCTTCAACCTGCTGGTCACGCTCCTTTTGATGCGGCCCAGGATACGGTTGGCTTTCTGGGCTGCAAGCGCACACTGCCTGCTCCTGTTCATTTTCTCATCAACCAACACCCCCAAATCCTTCTCCACAGGGCTGCTTTGAATCTCTTCTCTGCTCAACCTGTAGCTGTGCCTGGGATTGCTCCGACCCAGGTGTAGGACCTTGCACTTGGCATGGTTAAACTTCATGAGGTTGGCATCAGCCCACCTCACAAGTGTGTCAAGGTCCCTCTGGATGGCATTCCTTCCCTCCAGCGTATCAACCGAACCACACAGCTTGGTGTCATCAGCAAACTTGCTGAGGGCACACTCAATCCCACTGTCCATGTCAGCAACAAAGATGTTGAACAAGACCGGTCCCAACACAGATCCCTGAGGGACACCACTCGTTACTGGTCTCCAGCCGGACATTGAGCCATTGACCACAACTCTTTGTGTGCGGCCATCCAGCCAGTTCTTTATCCACCGAGTGGTCCATCCATCAAATTGATGTCTCTCCAATTTAGAGACAAGGATGTCATGTGGGACAGTGTCAAAAGTCCAGGTAGGTGACATTGACTGCTCTACCCCTGTCCATCAGTTCTGTAGCCCCATCATAGAAGGCCACCAAATTGGTCAGGCAGGATTTTGCCAGGCACAGAGGTGAGACTGACTGGTCTATAATTCCCCTGGTCATCCATTTTCCCCTTCTTGAAAATGGGGGTTATATTTCCCTTTTTCCAGTCATCAGGAACTTCACCTGACTGCCATGATTTCTCAAATATGATGGCCAGCGGCTTCGCAACATCATTTGCCAGCTCCTTCAGGACCCGCGGATGGATTTCATCAGGACCCATGGACTTGTGCACGTTCAGATTTTTAAGATGATCTCGAACCAGATCCTCTCCTACAGTGGGCCCAAGGTCTTCATTCTCACAGTCCCTGTATCTGCCTTCCAAGACTTGGGTGGTCTGGTCAGAGTCTTTGCCAGTGAAGACCGAGGCGAAGAAATCATTCAGAACCTCAGCCTTCTCCAAATCCCGTGTAGCCGGTTCTCCCAAGAGCTTCCTGAGGGGGCCTACATTGTCCCTAGTCTGTCTTTTATTTGCTACATACCTATAGAATCCCTTGCTGTTATCCTTAATACCCCTAGCGAAGTTTAATTCTAACTGGGCCTTAGCTTTCCTAACCTGGTCCCTAGCTTCCCGGACAACATCCCTGTACTCTTCCCAGGCCACCTGTCCTTGCTTCCATGTATTATAAGCCTCTTTTTTCATTTGAATTATCCTCAGGAGCTCCTTATCCATCTGAGGAGGTCTCCTGGCCCTCCTGCTGCACTTCCTTCTAGTTGGGATGCAACACTCCAGAGCTTGTAGCAGGTGATCCTTGAATATCAACCAAGAGTCTTGGGGCCCCCCTGCCCTCTAGGGCTATATCACATGGAACCTTACCAAACAGGTTCCTGAAGAGGCCAGAGTTGCTCTTTTGAAGTCCAGGGCAGTGAGCTTGCTGCACGCTCTTCTCACTGTCCTGAGGATCTCAAATGTGACCATCTCAAGATCGCTGCATCCAAGGCTGCCCTGGAGTGTCACATTTCCAATGAGCCCTTCCCTGTTGGTGGGCACGAGGTCAAGCATGGCACCTCTCCTTGTTGGCTCCTCTGTTGCTTGTAGAAGGAAGTTGTCTTCCACACAATCAAGGAACCTCCTGGATTGCTTGTGCCGGGCCATACCATCCTTCCAACAGATGTCAGGGTGGTTGAAGTCCCCCATGGGAACAACGGCCTGTGAGTGTGAGGCTGTTCCTATCTGTCTATGGAGTGCTTCAACCGCAGGCACATGGAAGATATCATGTGAGAAGAAACTTTTACAAAGATGCCCAACACACCTCTAGACAGCTGTTTGTAATCACTTGGGTCATTTAGTTGTCTTCAGAAACATATTTCTTGTAGTATTTTCCCTTTAGAAAGAACAGCTGTGTAATTGTAATTTGAGCTCTTAAGATACCTTTCCCCCCCCCCCTCTTTTCTAGCTGAAGAACAGTCTAATAAGAGGAGGCAGATGCAAGAAGCTGAAGATGTTTATCAGACTGGAATGAAAATCCTCAATGAAAGTAGTAAAAAGGCTCAGAAAAAAGAGTAAGTCTACCTTCTCCACCCCAAGAAGAAAAGTGACATAGCTGGTCACTGTATCTTAACTGGAAAAGAGCTTAAATGATTTGCCTTTTATTGGACTTGGATAAAACTAGCAGTGTTAGTACTGAAAATAAATAGCAATTTCAGGGTATTTAGAAAAACAAATTTATGCCTGCTTTCCTCTGAATCTACTAAAAATTATATAAGACTAATTTCTGAAGAATGAATGTCATCAAAACATTGACTTAATGCTTGTAGATGAAAAAAAAACCAGGAAAAAAAAGGAATGAAACAAGTATTCTGTTCATTCTGGTCTGTTTGCTTTCTGCTCTATGTATATCCAATAACTGATGAAGTTGTCAGCTTACCACTATAATTAAGAATAGCTATGTTAATTTAGAAACTCTCTGGTACTCAAGCTGGCAACTTCATTAGTAAGTGGTAACTTCAGGCTGCTGACTGTTACGTGAGCACTATTACAATATTAAACTTGTTCATGGAGATGAGGAGTGTATTTCTACTTCATCTATCAGGGAAACTGAAGCACAGCTAGAAGTTGTCCATCACACCTTGGCAGAGACAAGTGTCTGTCAGACTCTGACTGGTATTCTATTATATAAAATAGTGTAGGAATTGTAAAACAATATTAAATCTTAGTTCTCTTGAACACTTCACCCTTTCTTAGAAGGTGAAGTTATGTGAGGAACCAGATGTGCTTCTGCTTGTTCTAAAGAAAGAAAACAAGTCTGAGAGTAGAACAGAGATAAAGAAAAATCTTGGAATGCTCTTAAAAGGTCCATGAGCATGCTTGACACTACTGTGTTATAATGTTTAAGGTTATAATTTTTTTTAATTGCTATGAAACCAGATGCTGTGAAATTGTTTTAGAGGACTACTGTTAAGTTCTAAGGCTGAAGTAAAGGGGAGTTTCCAGAGAACTTTCTCATTGTTAGTATGATCGTTTCATCACAAAATTTAATATGTATATAATTGTCTTGCACCCAGTCCTCGTTGTAGTGTTCTCATTTGAATGATTTTCTTCTCAACAAATCAAAGAGACTCCATAGACTTTAAGGCTTCTTTTTTCTGTCATGATGTGGATGGAACTCTTGGTGTAGTAGTCCTACATGATACCTAGTACAAGACTTAAAATTCTTTCTACAAAGATATGATCATTTTGCATAAGGATTAGACTGAACGTTAAAATCTAGTTTGTCTATTAGATAAATCATATGAGTTGTTGCACAGGTTGACAGTTCAGAGCTGGAACAGAGGTAGATGTGTTTGTAGAAAATAGAGGCTACAATGGGAATAAAATGCCTCCCCAGAATCTTCAGGTCTATGAATGGAATCTGCTTCTTTGTCTTGAGGTGACTAAGAAATTGTTTTCTTTTAAGAGCGTATCAATATCTTCTGAAAGCAGCTGACATGAATCATACCAAGGCAATGGAGAAAGTGTCTTATGCTTTGTTGTTTGGGGATTACTTGAAGCAGAACATACAATCATCAAAAGAACTATTTGAAAAATTAACAGAAGAAGGTTCTCCTAAAGGACAAATGGTATGTATGTCCTTAGATTCTGCAGAAGTTCTTACAGGTTTATAAACTGTTCTATAGATTGTACTTACTCTAACGTGATTTTATAGATTGTTCTTATGTCCAGAAGAGAATGACAACAGGAAGTAGTATGTATTGCCTGATTAAAAAAGATAGCAGACAGTTCTGCTTTTTTAAATTGTTCGAGAACTTGATGTAAAACATCTGATTCAGGAAATGTATTTTATTAATGCTTGCCTAAGCATTTCCTAACCCTGACTTCTTGTTGCTTTTACCTTTTAAAATTCCACCAGTGCCTTGCTTTGTTTCAGAGGTTCTGCTTTACTGGCCTTCTCTATGCTGCTAGCATTACTGAGGATGCAGTAACCTGCACCCTCAAGGTAAACACATGGAAACAGTTTTTTTCCCTTTTGAGTTTAAAAAAAACATCATTAAACAGCCATTTTATGGCTTACTGTAATATAGTATAGTGGTAGTCTTGTCATTTAATTTCTTACCTGTTCTGTTACTGACTAGATGGGGTGTTTAAGTCAAAAAATAGGTAGATACAGGAGACTCCAGCCAACAAATCTCCTCTGAAACTGTGTTCTATTCTTGTGGCTTGTGTGGGATATTGTGGCTTTTAATCTGCAGTTTTATCTTTGACTTTAAGTAGATACACACACACACGCACACACACTTTTATAATCTAGGAAGTTATAAACTCCTGGGAATCCTGAAAGCTGTTTAGTGGAATGGGACTCCCTTTGTCTGTGTACCTTTGAACATCATAGAATTGTTCATATGTATTTGTACACATGCAGTGTCTTAAATTGTGGGTGTTACCAGTTTTAATGTCTTAATATCTGAATATACTTATTGTTCTTTTTTGTTTTGGAAGTGTCAGCTTCTTTAGGAATTAATCCTGTTTCTTTTAGCTCTTTGGCTACCAAGTCTGCTGTTTCCTGTTTAATGTTGAAGTGCTGATTCAGCATAGAAAGCAGGAACGTGTTTTCTCTAGAGATTTTATATCTTAATGAAGATCTTGACTTTTATTGGTCTAGAATTCAGTAGTGTCTGCATGAGGTGATTATTTTGTGTGTGTGTGCACTTTCAGAATTATCTGCAATAGTCTTAGAACACTGTGAAATATAAACTGTTGTCTTCTGTGCTAATAGTTTCTTCTCTCCGCAGCACAGCTGTAACAGCTGTTATAAATAGAGCAGTAATTATGTAAATTTTAAGAATAAAAATAGCTAATGAAAAATCCTCAGCCAAACAGCTCTCTGCATTCTAACTGCTTATAGTCATAAATACAACTAACCTGTGGCAGAACATATGGAAAATACGAAATTCATCTGTTAGACTGTAAATCAAACTGTAAGACTTCTATGCTAGTGTCATAGGCAACTGAATAATTTAGAAACTTACTGTTTTAAAAGGGTCAGGAAAGACACTAGATGCGGGAGTTACCAAAGTGAAGGTAGAGCTTGTCATGTCCTTTGCACCTTTGAATCACTGTTTGACTTTATACTTAAGTATTCCAGGAAAACTGATTTCAGTGTGCTGACAAACTTTGTTTTGTTTCTAGGCTCTTGGATTTCTGTATGCATCTGGTCTAGGAGTCAATTCTAGTCAAGCTAAGGTAACAGATATTTTCAGCATGTGCTCTTATATTTTATCTTGGAGGCAGATGTTATCTAAGTAACCTATGATTAATTTTTTTTTTGTTAAGGCCCTGGTGTATTACACTTTCGGAGCTTTAGGAGGAAATCTTATTGCCCATATGATCTTAGTAAGTAAGATAGTTTATTAACTTTACACATGCACAAACTTTTTTGTAATCTTAAATTTTTGATGTAAGGTTTACAGTCATGTGAATACACTGTCCAGATGTTAGATCATGATGCTTGCATTGCAGGGGCAATAGTCTCCTTCCTGTTATTCCTTGTTAACTTAAGGAAAAGTCTGCTTATTTTAAGCTGTATACCACTATGAATTTAGATGGACCGTGTTTGCATCTCTTGACTTAAAGCAGAAGTGTCAGATTTTTAATCTTTATAGGCTAATGGGAATTGTGAAAGCCAGAAATCTTTACAAAAGATCTTTATATATAAGATCTTTTATATAATTATGTATATTAATATCATTAGTATTGTGAGATTTGAAAATAAAGCATAACATGTGTAAGTAAAAGGCTTTAGGTTTTCATCCGTAAGTATCATTCTGCTTACTTGCTTTATCCTGAATGATATCTGAAGTATCTTGGCTATGCTTAAACTTTGTCAGTTGCTTTTAATACAGTGGACTTGTGGCTTTTGTTTTGCCTATTATTGTGTCGTCAAATCTTGCTCAAATGAGGTTAAAAAAGTTAGTAACCTGGCAAGCAATATGTTGTCAAATAACCGGTAGTCCCTTATTTTTATATTTTCCTTTCTAGGGTTACCGGTACTGGGTTGGGATAGGAGTCCTTCCAAGCTGTGAATCTGCTCTCACTCACTACCGACTTGTAGCTAATCATGGTAAAAGCTTGTTACTCTGCTAACATTCTCAGCTTTATCTGTATTTTTATATCATTCACCTAGAAGATACTATAAGTACTGTCAACACTGATAGTATAAAAATAGAGAATTCCTGCTATTAAACAACTTACCTGTTTGGCTCCGAGTCATGATATGCTATTTTAATCTCCTATCTATTGAAATGTCTTTAATTCTTAGAGAATGTGAAAGTAATTAATTCCACGTAACAGTTTGAAGCTCTGTAGAGATCTGTTTTTACTAAGTAGGAGTGTAATATTTGTATTGAACAAAACTGAAAATTTCTTACTTGTTTTCCAGTTGCTAGTGACATTTCTTTGACTGGTGGCACAGTAGTTCAGCGAATTCGCTTAGCAGATGAAGTAGAAAATCCAGGAATGGCAAGTGGTATGCTAGAAGATGACCTGATTCAGTATTACCAGTTTTTAGCAGAGAAAGGAGATGTGCAAGCACAGGTAAGATTAAGTTCACACGATGACATGCAGAGGTTGTCAAGAACTACAGAAACAGTTTTATGAAATATGGGAAGTCATTGAAGCTTTAGTTTTTTTTCTTCCTCCTACATCAACCTGTTTGCTATTTCCTGTTTAGTTTTTATGAGCAGACGCTTATATCTTAGTGTGTTTAAAGTAGAGCTTGAATAGAATATGGATTTTCTTTGTGGAAAATAAATTCAAAACATTACAGCTTTAGTATCTTGGGAAAAAGAATCTTGGCTTTCACTAGAAACCAGACAGAGTAATTTAAGGATAGCTTTAGGTGTTGTGGAGGAAGAACTGGCCCTGTCAGGGGACCTCAGTATCTTGCTGTATCTGTTCTTACATGACTTCTGCATGCTGCAGGCTGGCCCTCTTCTAGACACAGTGCAGAAGGGGAGGACACTAATACAGGCAAATTGTCACAATTGAAGTTGCTCATATATGACTTAAGAATTCGGTAGGCAGAATTCAAATGACCTATAATTATTTTGTATCTAGTCATGTCACTTTTATCTAGGCTGAATGTCTGCTTAGGCTAATGTGGAAAAATGGGCCTCTACTGTAGTTAATGAAGCAAATCTATGCCTTCAGACTTTGTGGCATTTTTAAGTCTGATACAGTCTGTGCATTTAATTAGCTCACTGGTATGTGTATTAATGGAAAAGAAAATCCCTAAAGAAAAGTTAATTATTTGCAATGTAAAATTTATTTTTAGGTTGGCCTTGGACAGTTGCACTTACACGGTGGAAGAGGAGTAGAGCAAAATCATCAGGTACCCTTTCTGTATATTTTTATACATATTACCCATGGTGGAGAGCGAAAAAGTATAGCTGAGACAGTGAAGCAAAAGTGTTTTAATTGCCACTGTAAGGTATTTAATGATTTCAGTAGTCTTGTTTGATAAAATTTAATTCATTCAATAAAATTTAATCTTTATGTGACTAATACAGAGAGCTGATTTTCTTACACAATCAGTTTTAGACTAATAGTCTTAGAAATGAGGAAGTCGGAAATACAGACCAGGTTTTCATCAAGTATTACTTGAAACTGGCTGAATTTTTTGTACGTGTAGTAGTATCTCCATGACACATCGTCAGTCATTAGCAATGATAGTCTAGTTTGTGGCTTGCAAGAATAATTTGCTTCTACAGGTAAAACAGTGCAAGTTTCAATACTAAGGATATTAAGTGTGCATGGAAAACAACTTTTGCTGATGTTGGCCAGCCTGCATACTGCTTATAGAAGTTAAAATAGTTAACCTTTTCTTAAAGTATGTATTGAAAAAATGGAGAACTGAGGATGTGCAGTCCTGATAATTATTGCAAACTCTGCTACCAACTAGAAATTATTTAATGGTCGTAGCATTTAAAATACCTTAAAACGATTGCTCTAGAAGGGTTCAGGGATCATCAGTGGGTCAGAATTAGTATAACTGATCTCTGTATAAAACTGAATAGGAACTAGCAGATCTGTCCTCTTCTAAAGAAGGTTTTGGAGCTACAATAAGGGAACAAAATTTATCTGTGTTCCTTGTGCATAGTAGCAGCTGTGGGAGTTTTGGGGGGTTGTTTTTTTGGTTTTGTTTGTTTGTGGTGGGTTTTGTGTGGTGTTGTTATTGTTTTTCTCCTCTGCCAAGTATTGTGATTATAAGTGGGGAACTCTGTTACATATATGAAATTAGGTGGGATCCATAACTCTTGTCCCCAAAAGAACCTGGTAACTTCGCAAACAGCTTCTGCTCCATTTGCAAGAAAAGGTACTCAAATCATAGTCATGGTTGCAAAAATTCTTGTTTTCTTCCCTACAGCGAGCATTTGAGTACTTCAATCAAGCAGCTAATGCTGGCAATTCACATGCCATGGCTTTTCTAGGAAAGGTAAGATGAAAACTCTCAAAAGCAAGCAAATTGGCTGTCTTTCAATGAAAAATAACAAATATTTCCTACTTTCTGATATCAGGCAATATGAAACTTGAATGCTGGATTTGAAGCATTTCTATTCTGCTACGGGTTTGAATTTTCTTGTTAGTCTATTATGTCTAGTCTAAATTTTCTGCTTTAGGATTTTGTCTTTTCAAAATAGTGCTTGAACTAGATCTAAAAAAAAAAAAAAAATCAAACTGTTAAATACGTCAATGTCATTTTTCTGTGGTAGAGTTCAAAATTCAGAGTAGGCCTCTGTGCCCTCCAGTGTGGGGGAGAAAAGTTTGTCAAAATTTTGCTTATTGGGAAATAAAAAGTTCAGGAAGGAAAGGGGGAAGACATCTATATTCTTACTCATTGTAGAAAACTGAGGCACCTCGGTCAGAGTTGCCAGTGGGTCTTCATGTACTCTGAACCAAAGCTTGAGTCTGTTTCAGTTTTCTCAGATTTAAGTCCTTATTTAATATAAAACATGATAGACAAGCTGCTAATGGTGATGTTAATATCTTACTTCTATTTAGGTATTTAGGTCACTTGCCTGAGGTCTAGGTTGCAGGGTAGCTTCACCCTCTGAGGAGCTAAATCCTTATTACTCTATTTGAGTACACTTTAAGGTTAGGCTGCAGTAAGCAGCAGCTCTAGCTGATCTTCAGGCTGTCACTGCAGTAGAGATGCAAAATTCATGTCCTTAGAGCATGAAAAAATATAATATGCTGGTCAAGGCACCCAACAGAAGGAATTGCAGGTTTCTGCTTTCTCTACTGCTTGAGTGGTTTGTATCTAATAAATGCTGAAATGAACAGGGTTTAATAACTAATTTTTGCTTTGTTTTCAAGAGTTATTTTAACTGCCAGTGTAGTTTGACTTCCACTCATCTCACAAAATTTTTGCTTGATTGTGTTCTTTACTGCACGCTCGTAGAACTCAAAGATGAAGGGTATTTTAATGAAAACTTTCTAATTTTATGGGAAATTGTCTCCATTTTGACAGTTAAACCCTCTGAATCTGAATTTTGCAGTATACAGATGTGTTTTCTGCTTCTGGGCAAGTTCTTTAATGACTCTTCAGTAATGCAATAGTCAGAATAGTCTAATACTCATACGCAAAGTGAAGATGGTTCATGATCTCCATGCTAAACTGACTTCTTCAGTTGTTCTTCAGTAACACCTTTCCCTTTCAGATGTATTCAGAAGGAAGTGATGTTGTACCTCAGAGCAATGAAACAGCTCTTCAGTATTTCAAGAAAGCTGCTGATATGGTATGATTATTTTTAAGCTAGAAATACAGCATATGTGCTAAAAAGCTGATTAGCTCAGAAATGATGCAAATGCTTCTTTTTGTGCACTTCTGCATGCATATACCTACACTCAACTTCTTTCCCAGATTAAAGCATAATTAAACCCTTCTTGTCTGAATATGTCAGAAACTGCCTTCAGTTGTGGTCATGGTGGTTAATGAAGCTGTGTTCAGTACAAGGAGTTTAACTGTCATGAATGCTGGCATCAGTATGAAATACTGACCACCTATCTAGCCTGACATTCTGTTAAGTGTTAGTTTTCATTAATCTGAAGCTGTATTGTCACAGCTGCTTTTAAATTGAAATGGACTCTCAGATTTCCTGTAGTTGTTTTGGGAGCTTCTGTAGCATCTGGAACATTCTCAAACTTGGAAAAACTGAAGAAGAATAAGCTATTAATGCCCCACCTTTCTGTGAGCGTGGGTTATACATTTCGTATGACAGTTTGAAAGTGCACAGTAGACTTTGGTAACTAGCGTTGAAAGTTTTCCTTTTTCCTTTCCATTACCTGTGTAGTTACTGAATAAATGTTACCAAAAATGCTTTCTGCCTAAATAACTGTTATTACCTAGGAGCAAAGTTAAAGCAAATACACCTTAAGCACTGCTTGTTTTAATGATTTTAAAGGTAAATTTGAAAGATGCAGCTGTAGGTTTTGCCTTTCTTTGCAGAAGTGTTTTCCTGTGTTTTCAGGGTAACCCAGTTGGACAGAGTGGATTAGGAATGGCTTACCTTTATGGAAGAGGTGTTCCAGTGGTAAGTCATCTTTGATTGGAGGAACACTTTGAATTTTTTAATTAGTTCATGCACCTTGTAGCTTATCCCATGAGAAGGTTTCTTGTCAAATGTTTTATATTTAGCTATGTGAACAGATACTCAAAAGTTGTATTAGCCCAAAGCTGAGAAAGTAAGTTAAATGATTGCTCCAGAAACAGAACAGGGCACCCATTCTGTGACACGTAACTATTGATAGCAATTCTGTATGCCAGTTTTGAGATAACTACAGACTTGAGACATGCCAGTATCATTGTAGGGTGTTTCAATTTTTGTTTCCTATTTTTGACCAGGTGAATAGAACATCTTGCTGTAATTTTTTTTCTGTAATACAGATCTGTCCTTACATATGCATACACGCCTATTTAGGTCTGTCTTTATGTAAATTGTGGTGTATTGCAAGGCTCTAATGAGTGGACCAAATCTTCCTGCAGAACTATGAGCTAGCACTGAAGTATTTCCAGAAGGCTGCAGAACAGGGATGGGTTGATGGGCAGCTTCAACTAGGTTCCATGTATTACAGTAAGTGGCATCAAAGTAATGATTTGTCAGGTCTGAGCATCTGCCCTTTCAGTAACTGTTCACTAGGTGGCATTAGAAGTGTGTGTGTGCGTGTGTGTGTGTGTGTGTGTGTGTGTGTGTGTGTGTGTATACCACCTGTAGAGTGGTCTAACTAGATTGACTTTATATTTTATTGTTTTTTCCAACACTTTCACAGTATTTTTCTTTAATAATTGTAAAGACTAAGTACATACTGTATTTCATACAATTTTGCTTTTCAAGAGGAATTAATAGCAATGACTTACTCTTCCTTTTAGATGGCATTGGAGTAAAGAGAGACTATAAACAAGCCTTGAAGTATTTCAACTTGGCCTCCCAGGGTGGCCATATTCTTGCATTTTATAATCTGGCTCAGATGCATGCTACTGGCACTGGAGTGATGCGATCCTGTCATACTGCTGTTGAGGTAAGGTCATCCATTTATAAGGGTCAAATAATACTGGCTTGAAGAAAGTTGGATATAACCACGTCAGCTTATGTAGGAAATCTGTCCTGGCTAAAACCCACTGGTGACTGTAGAGCCGGGGCTAACAAAAGGCAAAGGCATATATTATCAAACTCCTATGTATCTCACGAGAAAAATCTTTATTTTCATATGTTGATATGGCAAGTTTGTATTTGCTTTATTAACTTCAAAGAAAATCAAAAGAATGTAATACGAAGTAAATACCAGTAAGTACCAAATTCTTCAGTTAAGCACGTGTTTAAGTGTAACAGAAAAGCTCATCTTAATTCTCAGTAAGCATCTGAATCTTGGCATGTGTTTGCTTAGTAACCTGCATCTTGAAGTAAGCCTGTCTTAAGCAGTGAATTAATCTATCAAGTTTTTCTGAGGAATGTGAGTATTTTGAACAGGCATTTGAATGTTAAAGGTTGACCTCTTGTGAAACCTAAATTTCTGAAGTTCCTAACAACCACTTTTCTTCCTAATTTGTTTTATTCCCCTGCAGTTGTTTAAGAACGTGTGCGAACGGGGGCGTTGGTCTGAAAGACTTATGACTGCCTACAACAGCTATAAAGATGGTGATTCAAATTCTGCTGTGGTTCAGTATCTTCTTCTGGCAGAACAAGGCTATGAAGTTGCACAAAGCAATGCTGCTTTCATATTTGACCAGAGTAAGGACCTGAATCTACTGAATTTTTTCTGGAGTTGGCCTGCAGTAGCCTATTTAGTAGAGTGCTAGGATGCTTGAAGATACAATTGCTCTCGTTCAGTTAGAACTTCAGTGAGATTCTTGTCCTCTTGCTTGCTCTTCACACTGGAAAGCAGTCAGTTTTAACTTTCACCTCTAAGGACAGCTTTCTGGCCTAAAAGTTAGAATATGCTTACGTTCTGATTTACAGGATTTAAAAATGGGATAGGGAGAGAATGCTTTAGAAGCTTGCACAGTGCTGAAAAGTCTCTTCCCTGGATTTCCTAAGCATAGCCTGAACATTTTTCTTTTTAAATCTGTGAAGTAGGAAAAGTAGGAATTGCATTAGTTTTACTTTTGGCCTTTACTGTGCCTTATCTACAGGCTTTGGTTTTCTTTGTTCTTTATCTTGCAATGTCTTTTCCCAGCACTCTTCCCTCCCTCTCTCCCCAGAAGTTTTTTGTAACTTTACTCGTACTGCTCTTGAAACTGGGCAGTTAGTTCCTAGTCTTGAAAAAACTTGTCCTAGATCTCTTAATGCAAACTAGGTGGATAGAACTTGGATTTATTAGAGTCTGAGGTCATAGGGAAATAATGGAAGTATACATGACATCTTTCTAGAAACTACAAAACCCAGTATTTTAAACTTTCTGGATCCCAAATCCAGGCATTTAGGACTCCTATTACCATCTTTAGGGCTTTGTATCTTAATTCAAAAATTAACCTATCAGCCACCAATAGCTGTTTTAACCCCTTAATTTCCTGTTAATGTTTTTCAGAAGTGCCCTAGTGACTCACCTTTAGATAAATTACATCAATTACATCTTGACTGGGAATGCATACCTGCAAAGAAATAACCTCTTTCCCCAAGTTAAAATTCTGATTGTGATTACTCAGATATATCTGCATCTTGACTGGAGATGAATTTAAAATTATTTTATACACTTTATACAGAAAATATATATGTCAACTGTGAGATAGTATAGCTGAAACCATACTTAAGATGTAAGAGTTTATTCTATAAACTGTCTGTACTCTTGATACTTAAGCAACTCTCAGTTTATGACATGAAAAAGTAAAATAACTTCTGTTCTGAAGTACCTGTAGCACTATTGTATAGAATATTCACTCACTGGCTGGCTAAAGAGTTTAAGCCTTTGTTTTAGTTGACTGGTCTTGGGGTTTAGATGGTCAGACTATAGGTTATACTTTAGCCTTGTATTTGAGCGCACTTTTCTCAGAGCCCAAATTGTGTACTCTTAAGACTTGCACCTTCTGGCATTCCTCAAGTATGCTTCAGAATCAACTACAGGAATGGGAGAGAAACTTGGTAAGGAATATTTCAGGGTGAAATAATGCAATTTGTTCCTAGTTCTTCTGTGAGCAGATGCATAGAAAGACCATATAAATGAAAGAGTTTTTTATAAGTGTCAGGTGGGTTGAATCTTGTTTGTGCTATAGCACAGATGACTTCAAGTTTTTAATACATTTCAGCGGATTGACTATAAGTATAGGGTTGTTGGGTTTTTTTCTGGTATTGTGTACATACACCATGCTCCTATTTAACTGAATTACTTTCTCCTCTAGAAGAAGCTAGCATAGTAGAAGAAAATGAAACCTATCCTCGAGCTTTGCTTCACTGGAATAGAGCAGCTTCTCAAGGTATATCCGTACCTCACAGTTCCAATTATTTTATTTTTAGTAGAGCCATTAATGTTAGTTTTCATGTTTTTTATGAAACGGAGGGAGGGAAAGCTTATCTCCTTCAGTTCAACATTAGTTGTATTTGACATAGTGTAGTTGCTGTTCTTTGTTCCACTCTCAGCTATAATGCCATTGCAGTATGCATGCAGTTCCGAGCTGTTCTGAGATCCTGAAGATTTAAAGGTCTAAAACACAGCTGTACAATGTGTTTCTTTTGCTGTTCCATACAGAATTATAGAGCAGTGTTAAACAGCATTAGAAATGTTTACACTGATTTTTCTAAAATTAAATCCACTTGGAAAATAGATACCAAAATCCTGAAGAGTACTTTTGCACTTGTCATATGTAATTTCTTACTCAAAGCTCAGTCATGAAGAATGCAGTCTTGATATCCAACAAACTGAAGTTTAAACTCTGGTGCTTGTGATCCTATCCTAAAATAAGCAAAGCTAAACTTAATCATAAAGTATCTCAGTGTGAGGTCTCTAACTTCCTTACAGGTGCATCTTCATTGTCTGTCTACTGGCTTTTTACTTAGGAGCAAGTGCATCATGTAAATGGAGCCAAAGAATTTTGTCTGAAATTCTTCAGACCTACTTTGCTTTTTAGTAGAAAGTTAGAAATTGAGAGAATTAAATGGTTAAGTACTCAATTACCAAATGATGATGAGAGACTTTATTTTTCAAGTTTTAAGTGCCTCTGTTTCAAAAGCAAAAACAGAGCCCTTACCACATAGTAAATCAAAAGTTTTTCTGTAATAAGTGACTATGAAAAACATGACAAAGCTTTTCAACTGATGCCACTAAATAGCAGTAAAAATATTGGTAGGATTACTGGGGAAAAGACTTCCCTGAAAATAGAAAGAAGTTGTGTTGTGGTTAGCTAAACCAAATTAAAAATAAACAACCCAACAAAACCAAACTCTCTGTGAGAGAGGGAAAAGGGAGACAATTTGTGGAAACTGAAAAGTAATACTAAAGCCCTTATTGCAGCTTCCTGTGAAATTAGCAAGGCTTTCTTTGTCTACCTATCTGATCTTTTTTGTTGTTTCTTGATTTATAGGATATACTGTTGCAAGAATTAAACTTGGAGATTACCATTTTTATGGCTTTGGTACTGATGTTGATTATGAAACTGCATTTATTCATTATCGACTGGCATCAGAGCAACAGCACAGTGCTCAAGCAATGTTTAATCTGGGCTACATGCATGAGAAGGGGTTGGGCATCAAGCAGGTGAGTAAACTGTAGGCTGATAGTCTGCTTTTTTACAGCGCATTTACTAATGTTAGATTAAGTCCATAACCACTAATGGGTTATGAGCACTGTATAACCAACCGCTTAGTAGGAATTAGCATATCTCCCGATACGTTGTCCTGTAGCAAATGGATAAGTATATCCACTTCACACTTGCCTATGTGAAGAAATGAGGCATAGACAGGGAAAAAACTATTTGCCCAAGATTGTGAGGATTGGCAAAAAGAGTGTCATAGGCTTGAGTAATGCTTTCCAGACTTTGAAGTGTAATGAAATGAATGCAGTAGTTTCCAGGTTCAGAGTATTTTGGCACAAGATTGCTCTCATCCTCCAAAACACTGGTTAATTTGTTCTCTACCATGACATTTTGAAAACAAGTTCTGTGCATCTTCAAGTAACAAGCCATAAGCACAAACAACGTGATTATTAGCTATGGTTTTTCTAATTAGGCTAGGCCACAGTTCGCTTTGCAAAGTACATTGCCTAAAAGAAAGCAGTATATCTGGTTCTCTTAGGAAGCCTAATGGTGCATTGCTGTCCAAGAATTAAGTGAAAATTGTGCAATCTAAAGCAGTATGTTCTTGTGTGTGTCAAAATAATGTAACTAATAATCGCATACTAATTTTGAGCAGCCTACCTTAATGTTCAACTAAGGCATGCAATTTATTTTTTAAAAAAAAACCACCTTTCAGGCATGGACCTTTTTCATTTCTTTTGCTTCTGCCTTGAAAACAGCCCAATTTAGAGCACATAATGAAATTTTGCAAATACTGTAACATCATGTTCAGTTCAACTGCGAAGAATTTGATAAACCTGAGTCCTGATGCTATATTTGCATAGAGTATTCTCCAACCTGAAGCAGAGATGGCTATGCATAGATAGCTGAAATGAGTATACAAGGGCTCATGATGAGCATGTGCAACCTTGCTTTATGCAGATGAATAATACCTTCCTCTCATACAGATCCACTGTTGAAGGCGGAGTTAAACCGAAATGATGATTGTTAATATAAATATGGGAAAGAAGCACTGAGAATGTTTAAGCAAGGAAGTTCCATGTATAAAACCGGACCTGGTAATTCTGGATGTATAAAGTCTTCACTTGCTGCATCCTAAAACTCTACAAGTGTAAGATGAGAGGATGGAGAATTAGGGCTGACTAAATAACACTAGGGCTGGGCTTAGGATATTCTGAAAAAGGCTAGGACTGAATTTTGAATGAAGCAAAAGAATATTTGGCTTTTTTTTCCCAGAATGGACACTGTTGAATTTTGAGCACCAAATGACAGTTTAAAAAAAATCATGCTTCCTGATGTAGCAGGTGATACGTACCACTGAAGTCTGCTCTTCCACTAGAGGCCTCTGGAAGGGACATACAAAGATTTTTTAGCACTACAGTATCTAACAAATTGGGATTTAGTCGGTCAAAGGCAGGGATGTGTACTCTTACTTCCTCCCCACCTGTGTCCACATCATTAAGACTACAGGCCCTCTAAAGTTAGGGAGAATGATCCAGTAAGGTGGCCTGCACAATTTCCGTTCAGGTCACTGTTCATTCTGGTTAATCTTGCATCAGTATGGTATTTTTTCACTGGGTTTTGGTTGGTTGTTTTTTTCCCAAACAGCTTTTACCTTATTCTTCTTTATTTATTGAATAAATTGTCTTTCTTACATACAGCATTCTATGCTGTATTTCCTGTACATAGTTGGTTTTCAGACTCATACCAGGTCAATGCCAAATATTAAGCCCTTTCAGAAATCTCACACATGTACACTGTTACACACTTTTCATAGATTGAAATCTTTGATTTCAATAGATTCACAGATTCCATAGATTTCATAGGTTCAATCTATGTGTACATGTGTGAGATTTCAGGTTGTCCAATTCCTGAGCATGCATGCTGGAATGAAGACTATTTCTATATACTGCTCAAAATAAGAACAAATTAATTTTCTCATGGTCTTCTCTTAAGATTTGGCATGGTATTTCAGTGCCATTTGTGTGTTAAAGCTCAGATTCCAACAGTACTCACTGTCAAGTGAGAGTGAAGAGTGTATAAGTAAAATGAAGCACTTGCTAATTAGAAAATAAAATAAGCCATGATTCTGCTTCTACGCTGATACTACCACAATATGAAGGAGATAAGGAAACTCTTTTAAACAGTTGTACAAAACACAGTCTTTACAGGCTCAAGGATTATTTAGAGTTGTTTTATTAAATTAAAATGCTAAAATTGTGAGCTAGTACATCTTACTCACATAATGTGATTTTCATACTGCTATTTCCACATGTTATGGAACCAAGCTTTACTGTATCAATGAACAGAAAATCTTTATGGTATTTCATAATCATGATAAAATTATAAAATGAATATGTGACATGAAGTCCTGGAGATTTCTGTTAAGTGTCCAACTCGGAACACTTCTAGAGGTAAGTCTTAGCAAAGGCGTGCCCTTCACATCACTGAGTGAACATAAGCAATTTATATCCAGGTATCATAACATTGCACAGTATGTGTCTGAAGTGAAGCCAATAAACCCCCCCAGAAAAAGGAAAGTTAAACTGTTCAGGTACATGTATCCTCAGTTCTTCCTACAGTTACCTTCTTGTTCCAACTACCACAAAAGAGAACAATAACTTAAGGTCTTCCTAAAGTTTGTGCTCATGCTTTTGCCAGGCTGCCCTCAATAATGCAAGTTATGTCTATTTTGGATAAGGAGCGAAATCTAATTTAGGAGTATATGCAGAAATGGGTAGAAGCTGCGCTATGCAGCAGGCATACTTTGGTATAACTGGGATGGGTTGCTGCTTTGTACTCTTTCATGGCTTGTGCTTTCATAGTCTTTCATGTTTGGTGTGGTGTTGGAGATGATATAGTGTACCAGGGTTACCTAAATATGTGCCTTAGTTTACAGTGCATGGGTTGAATATGGAAATGTTGATCTCTTTATCAGCTTCAGTTCTAGCATCAGCTCAAAGCTTCCCTTTACTTGTCTAGTCAAAGGTGAACATGCCTCAAAAAAAGGTGTAATTTTACTGAATGGATGTTTAACTTGACCAAAAACCTTGCATTCAAATGACAGTATACAGTAGCTTATAGTAAAAGTTCCATATTTTATGGTTAATTTTTCAAGTTCTTCAAAATTGAGCTTTGTATTTTCTTAACTTTAGGATCTTCATCTTGCAAAACGTTTCTATGATATGGCAGCTGAAGCAAGCCCAGATGCTCAGGTTCCTGTCTTCCTAGCGCTTTGCAAGCTTAGAGTGATTTATTCCTTGCAATATGTACGAGAAATCAATGTAAGTTATGCAGAATTAAAAAAAAAAGGCATCAAATGTGTTTTCCATTTTAAAAGAAGCTTGACTTGTAATGTTACTTAAGTAGAAGTCTAACTTGAGCCTTCTGAAAACTTTAGATGTGTTTTTTGTTGTTGTTTGCTAAGAAAGCTACTGAACCTGTGATGCCTATTTCTTATTTGTGCAGCTGTGCAAAACTGAAATGTGCACAGTTGTTCTTCCCTTGACAAGAATTTCCCTAACTTGTTTCTCTGGTCTTACCCATGACTATCTGCTGTCAAAGTTAAGCAGATAGCAACTGGTGGTACTTGTATGTGAAAAAATGTTACAAGTCAAATTTAAAATCAAAGTAACTTCCCATTCTTGCTCTTTGACATGATGATGTGGACTTCTTGTTTCCTAGATAAGAGAGGTATTCTCACATGTTGATATGGACCAGCTGCTGGGGCCTGAGTGGGATCTTTACCTTATGACCATCATCGCCTTGCTTCTGGGAACAATTATAGCTTACAGACAAAGGCAACATCAGGCAATTCCCAGACCAGCAGGACTGCGGCCAGCTGTGCCTCAACAAGAGCCACCACCAGAGCATCAACCACCACAATAGCAACAAAAGCCTCAGTGAAAGAACTGGATTTTTCCAAAAGGAACAATTTTCATTGTGATTTAGGACTTTGGATTAATGGTCCCTCCCCCAAAAGAGGCGCAAAGAAGCTGAGGAAAACAAAGTCTGAAAGCTGCTTAGAATGTTGCCTTTTTTCAGGGATAAGAAAATTCTATTGAAACTGATTTGAATGTTATTTCAGTGCCAATGGAATAACACTATGGCTTTTTTCATAGAAACACAAGAGTGCTACTACAAAATTGTTGTTGCCTGCTGTATCTAGTTCCTCTTTATTCAGAGTCCTTTTCATCTCCTAGAGATAGCAGAAGGCTAGCAATGAAAGGCTTTTGCCTGCTTGATAGCAGTTGCCCTCTACAAAAGTAAGAACAATTTTATGGCCGATTCAAGTCCCTAGAAGCTGAATGATATTGAAACTCTAAAAATACTAGAGCTGTATAAATTTATATTCTGATCTCCATCCCAAGTATTTCTACAATCCTTATTTAATTTTCTTAATATTTCCTACACTTTGGTCTTTCATGCTGCCATGGGTGGTTTAACATGGATTATTTATAAACTCTCTAAAACTAGCCAGTAAACACACCACTCTCTATTTGTGATTTTTTTTTTTTTTTTTTTTTGAGTATTTTCCTCTGTTCCCCTTAGACTAGACTAGACAGTTCTCAGCAGACAGTATGTAGCCCAGAGGCAGACTGGGACAGATTGGGTCTGTAAAGCTCATCAGTTGAGAACTATCCACATGGTGCCCAGATCTTGCATCCTTCTAGAACTTTTTTGGAGCCTGTGTACTTGGCAATACTTTATAACATAAAACCAAATTGGTAGTGTTCCTAAATTATTTAAATTTACTCTGACAAAGAGGCTGAGTCTGGGTTGCAGAAAGCACCAGTATTATTGTGGACACTGAAGAAAGGACAGAGCCAGAAATCTCAGTGAGTTAGCTTACATTTTTGTTTGATTTTAGAGATGGAAGTTTTGTATTTAATTTTCAGCAATCCTGTAAGTGATCTGCACTGCAACAAGGAAAAATATGCTATCTCATGAATGCATCTGTTTAATGCATCTACAAAAAAGGGCCCAAAAGATCTTTACTAAATGCTACTTCAAAGTTTGGCTGACTGATAAAAATCGTACGTTAGATTACATCAATGCTCTGGCTGTCTCTAACCTCTCTTGTACCTGGCATACATGAGAAAGTCAAAATAACATTTGGCTGTGTCATCTGGAGGACCCATTCTAACAAGAAAACCCAAAGAGAAAGATGACTAATGGTTTATGGCTTTCTGATACCACCAGGTCATTGCAGAGGCCTTTTAATGAATGTAAAGAACGTGACCCGTGGACTGATGTTTTTGGACTGCAAGTGGAATCTTCACTTACTAAGGATTTTCACTGAATTATAATTTCAGGATTTGGGGGTGGGAAGCAGTAGGGAGTAGCTTAGAGGCAAAAAAGGAAGTTTCTGTTCTTATTTACCAATGGCAGTGAAATACTTGTTTCTGTACTAGCATTAAATCCTCTAGTGTCTTAAAGCTGAATGAAACACAACTGAAAATGAGGAGGCTTTAGCTGATTTATGAAAAAGCCTATTGTGCTTAAAGGGTTAAGGGCTTCCTTTCATGCAAATCTTTTTCCAGTGGATTGGCAACAACGTATCAGTTCACTTTATTTAGAATTGAGATTTTGTTATGGTTTCATACCTAGTACATTTGCAAGGAGACCATTGCACAATAGAGCTGTAGTTTGGGAGATTAGCAATACACCCTTTTGTAAACTGAAATGCCATGGATGACTAGTATTAAAGTACAGGTAGAACTTCTCAGTACTTCAAAATGCTTATGCTGGTCCTGTGAAGACTAATCTTTCGTTTTCATTTAGAGGGTTGCAGCATGTGATAAAGAATGTCTTGTTCAGTCTTAATCATCATTAGCAAATGGAACAGTATTGAACTTTAATCTGGTGTCTAAAGTGTACAGCACTCCCCAGGTGCATTTCTAAAATGTGTGATTTCTGAACACTCCCTCTGAAGTATTTTTGCCTCTGTCACTTAATAGCTTTTTTTTTTTTTTAGCTTGACATGAATAAATTAAAGATTATATGGAAAATGTTTTTCAGTTAAATAACATTGGTTCATTGGTATTGGTCTCTTAGGACACTTAACAATTTTATTACTGCATTATTAAAATGCTTTGGTGATTTGATCTACTAGAACTAAATTCTACAAGCTCTGTCCTATTTACATGAGAATCTCTCATCATTTCTGGTATGTGACAGTCTTATAGCTGACTTTCAGTGAACCTGATGCATTTTTCCATCCCAAGAAATCAGCAGAAGAAAACGATTGAAGCTCAGCAAGTTATTTCACTTTAAAGAACTGCCTTTTGAAGAAGCAATAAGGAAGTCTTTCTCCTGCTTTTTTCCCTTCCACCAAATTATTGCCACTAATTTTTCAGATGACATTCATTTGAATTAAGTGGTAGTAGTAGAAAGGTACTTACCGTAAGTAATGGTGAGTTAACTCAGGGATTAAAGAAATTAATAAATTCAAATCGGTTATCTCCAACATGAATTACATTTTTGTGACAATCCCTTGCTACTCTGTTCTGAAACCTGCATTTTGAAGGTAGTTAACTTTTACTAGCAATATGTTTCTTGTTGTGCACTCAATTAAGCAGCTTTTTTCCTAAAGGAGCTGGGTTGCTCAGTTTACTGCAGTGAAGAACTTGTTCCCTTTTGGTAGCACACAGGTTGTCTTGCAGTTCATATGCAGAAGTATTTTAGAAGGAAAACTTGATTTAAGAGATGCCTTTCTGGTTATGTTCAGCATGCTTTGAATGGAAAAATTGTATTCTTTGTAGTAATGTAGGCCAAAGCTTGCCTATTTGACCTTCTCGGACACATGCTCTTCTGAATGCTTTCCAGGATGAAACAGTTACAGAGCAGTGACTGCTGTCGGTGGGAGTTTTATATGTAGGACAACTGTGGAAAGATATGGGGAAAATGTCGTTCTGTATCTCAAATTATTAATCAGATACACTTGCTGGTTGAAAAAATGCTGAACTGTTGAGAAAACAGGATTGTAGTTCTTCACTCTGAAACCTGTCCCAGAGCTGTCTGCTGAAATACTTTTGGGTTGTTTTTTTTTTTTTTTGCTTTATATTGTCCATCATGGCACAATGCAACAGAAGATAAGGCTTTTGATACAAACATCCCAATAAAACTGTTATGAGACAGTTTTACTCAGTTTTTAGTCATCTTCCGTAAGTCAGCTGCTCTTTAAGAAAAAACAAAACCAAAACCACCCAGCTATCAGATGCTATTCTTTTGAGAGAACGTTAAAACACGGATTGTGAAAGGACTTTTAAGACTATGCATTATCTAATGTACACCTATTATATGCTAGTTTTGGCCTATAAAAGGGGAATACACTATAAAAGGGGAACACACCTCTGCAAGTTGCTTCCTTTTTTAATAGGCAACAATGAACTGAAATTCTATTTTTGTTTCAAAGAATATTAAACTAAAAAGATTTAGTTTGATTTGAACTACTGCAAGTGCATATGGCAAATAGGAACTATTGGGGGGAGCCCTTTGTTTTTATCAGCTGCAGTTCTTTAAAGGGTCTTGTAGGAGTTTTGTAAATTTATTTTGTATTTAAAATCAGTATAAAGGCTGGTCAAATGTAATATATTTGTGTAAACAAATTCTGTTAATAGAAAGATGTACAGATTCATTTTGTACTGTATCTTTAATCTTGTGAAATAAAGATACCACCTATGTGGTTACCCTCAGTGTTCACAGTGGTTATGATACCAAAGGATGTCAGTTGTTAGTCTTAGGCACTGATACGCCACTGCTAAATGAATCCCGGATTCCTATAAGGATACTCACACTTCTATTTCTCTACAAAGATAAATCTGTTAATTTTGGAGGTGCACAAAAAAGGTGAATAGAAAATTACGCATTCTGTCTTTAGTTGTGCTAAGAAACTTGCCCTCTGTATATGTGTGCATGTGTGACCCTTTCTTCAGTGTATACGGTGTCCATGCTGTGTGTGGCAGACCCAGAGCTGCTGTATGGTTTGAGAACAGTGACCTGTATCCTTAGGATTACTATTGCATTTTCAATCGTAATACAGGGAAAATACAGTGACTAGAAACAGATACTGGGAGAGGCACTGCTCCAAGTAGACACATCTGCTCACTTTTTAGGCCTTTTTCAACCTACTCATCCCTTCATGCCCCACTTGGGGACACTTGGATCCCTCCCTCATAAATTTATTATGTTGGTTTGCTTTCCAATGTGCTTATTAATTTGGAAGAAAACAACTGGGGAGAAGGAAAGTATGGAGGGTGAAGGAGCAATGATAACAGCTACGGAAGGCATCAATAGGTGAACAGCCCGAGTTACATAGTTTTCTGAAGTATCTGGAGGCTCCCCACATTGTCAACTGGTGCAGGCAGGAAAAAACTGCTGGTGCTAAAACCAGCCTGGGTCTGACTGACATAGCTGAAGATTAGTGAGACCATCCCTCACCTTGCAAAAGAGCCTCTGGCTTCAGATGCAATGTGTTCAAGGTCAGAAGAGTTAAATACCCTATTTTGCTTGTAGCCTGTTATTGACAGGGAGTTGTTTTCTGTGGTGGGCACAGAGTACCAAGTATATACACAGCTGTGAAAGTGGGGGGAGTGCTGGATTTGTGTGTTTTGGGGTTTTTTGTCTTTGGATTTTTTTTTTGGGGGTGGGGAGAGGGGGAGGGAGATGGGGGGTGTTTGTTTTTTAATAAAGAGCCACTGAATAATGCTCATCAAAACCCAGTATATTTGGTTTGGTTTCCTGGCTTGGTTGGTTTTTACGCTGCTTTCTTCTCAGTCTAAGACTAAAACACTTCTAGTAAAATGAAAATACTAATAGAAAGTGTAGTTTGTAAACCTGTGACACCTGATCCATTAGAAAGTGTTACTTGGTATAATACCAAAATGTTCTTCCTCATCTCTAAATGATCATTTGCTTAGTGGCATTTCTGAATCCTGATTTCAATTCCTATGTTTATAAAGAATTATTGAGGAAGAAGTCACTCTATTTGTTGCAAAAAAAACACCAAAAAATCATGAGACTGTAAATGACTTTTTCTGAAGCTAAGTTGAAGGAGGTGTACCATCATTCCAGGTAAGAATCATAGAATATTTAGGGTTGGAAAGGACCTTAAGATCATCCAGTTCCACCCCCCCTGCTATGGGCAGGGACACTTCACAATAAACCATCTCACCCAAGGCTCTGTCCAGCCTGGCCTTGAACACTGCCACGGATGGAGCATTCACAACTTCCCTGGGCAACCCATTCCAGTGCCTCACCACCCTAACAGGAAAGAGTTTCCTCCTTATATCCAGTCTAAACTTCCCCTGTTTAAGTTTGAACCCGTTACCCCTTGTCCTATCACCACAGTCCCTAATGAAGAGTCCCTCCCCAGCATCCTCACAGGCCCCCTTCAGATACTGGAAGGCTGCTATGAGGTCTCCGCACAGCCTTCTCTTCTCCAGGCTGAACAGCCCCAACTTCCTCAGCCTGTCTTCATACAGGAGGTGCTCCAGTCCCCTGATCATCCTCGTGGCCCTCCTCTGGACTTGTTCCAACAGTTCCATGTCCTTTTTATGTTGAGGACACCAGAACTGCACACAATACTCCAGGTGAGGTCTCACTAAAGCAGAGTAGAGGGGCAGGATCACCTCCTTCGACCTGCTGGTCACGCTCCTTTTGATGCAGCCCAGGATAGGGTTGGCTTTCTGGGCTGCAGGCGCACACTGAAGCTGGCTCATGTTCATTTTCTCATTGACCAACACCCACAAGTCCTTCTCTGCAGGGCTGCTCTGAATCTCTTCTCTGCCCAACCTGTAGCTGTGCCTGGGATTACTCCGACCCAGGTGTAGGACCTTGCTCTTGGCATGGTTGCTTTAACATCTAGTCTTAACTTTCATTTTCAGAAAGAAAAATGAGTGGTCATGGAGCACTGTTGTACTTTCATTTCAGGTAGGAAAAGGTAAATGTGATTTAA